CCACACCGCAATCCCTTCTCCTCCATTCTCCTCTCAGGATCTTGGACACGCACGCACATGCACCCAGCATGAGTGTAAGCCACTGGGTCTGGGACTCGAACCACGGTCGACTACATGGGAGTTCAGTGACATAGACATTATGCTAACTACTGATCCCTATGTACCTGCTATTTGAATGGAATCCCAACTTGTTTCCTGGCTTTAAGTTTTAAGGATATTTCCTTAGCATTTCTTCGATTTATTAAAAGTTAAATCTGCTTTTCTTGAAATGGAAAAATATAGTAAAAAATACATAATTAATGACCATAGTAAACTATATAGCATCACTAGTACTACCTTATAGTATATTAATTCCCCTCAGAGATTCATGCCTTGAGTCAGACATGTACTTATAGATATGTATATATCAGCAGAGCTTGCTGTTGAAAGTAGTTACATTATTTAAGAAATTTTGTCAATCAATAAAATGCGGGGGAAAAAAGGAAGGGAAAACAACTGTGGACATCTGAGATAGTGCGGGAGGAGCATGGGAAATGGTAGAGGGTGAGAAATAGGGGGAAAAATATATATATACATATATATATGAAACTAGAAATGGAAAATTATTGACGATAACATGTATGATTAAGCTACTATGCACTATCTTCTGGATGGGAAATTACATTTTGTATGCTGTGACAATGCTCAGTGAATAAATATAAATTAATTAATTAAAAAAAGAAAGAAAAAAAGATAAAAAATGCATATTAGAAAAACGCTATACATGAATTTCAAATTTTTTATACCAAAAATAAAGTTGTTCTTTAATTCCTTTTTTCATAAACTTTTTGTAGTCTCTGTGTATAACTGAAGCATACACAAGGATATTAACATCAAAACAAAAACTGGGGGCCCAGCAGTTAGCGTTATGGCTATGTCGCTGGACTCCCATGTAGTCGACCGTGGTTTGCATCCCGGATCCGGTGGCTTAAAACTCACGCGGGGCACATGTGCGTGCATACCCAAGATCCCAAGAGGAGAACGGGGGAGAAGGGATTGTAGCGTGGCCATCTCCCCTGGGGGGTAATTTCTCGCTTTCTGTCTCTCTGTCTCTCTCTGTCTGGCGAGCGCATGCGCCCTACAGCAAAAAACAAAAAAACTGGAAACATCTTGTGTTCATCAACATAAAAATGGAAAAACATACTGTGATGTATTAATGGAACACTACACGAAAAGGAAAATTAAGTATAATTATACACAAGGATAATTTTTTGAAATATAATATTGACTAAAAAAAACTAAATTTTTAGTATTTTTATCAAGTTCTGTTTTTCATAAGGCTCAAAAACAGGTCAAGCTGAGTACAGCATTTAGTTGGGTAGGTAGCCAGGTAAATAGATTATCAAAAAGTAGGATAGGGTCAACTTATGGCCTGGTGGTTACATGAGCTGGATTCCACATGGCCAACTGTGTGGTTCAGTCCTGGACTCGGTGACTTAAAAAACACACTAGGCCAGACCAGCACATGGGGTAATGGTTATGTCACTGGACTCCTACAGGTTCTACCATTGTTCAAGACCCATTCCCAGCGGCATAAAATTCACACCAGACATGTGTGTGAGTACCCAAAATCCAGAGAGGAGAGTAGAGGAGAAGGGACTGCAGTATGGCCACCCATCGTGGGAGATGATTTCTCACTTTCTGTCTCTCTGTCTCTCTGGTAAGCACATGCATGCTACAGTAAAAATTTCTCTAATAAAAAAAGAAAAAGAAAAGAAAAACGCACACACTACACATATGTACATGTGTACATGCCCGAAATCTTAAAAATGAGGAGAAATGGAGGAGGAAAGATTGTTTCATGACTGTTCCCCATTGCGGGTACTTTCTTGCTACGTTTTTGCTACTATCTCTCTCGCTCTGTCTCTCCAGTGAGCACACACACCCTCTGGCAATTTTTTTTGAAAAATTAGAGTAACAAAATACAGATTGACTGTCCCTTATCTGAACTGCTTGGAACCAGAAGTGACTGGAATTTGGGATTTATTTTTTATTCTGCAATTTTGCCTATACATAATGAGGTGGCTTGGTGATGGGACCTACATCTAAACATTAAATTCATTTGTTTCATATACAACTTATCCACCTTGTCTGAAGGTAATTTTATACAATATTTTTGTACTGCAGTGTTCTTAATAATCCATTAAATAAAATCAGGTATGAAATCTGCCACTTGTGGCATGTTAGTGCTCAAAAAATTCAATTTTGGGACTAGCAGTTGGTGTAATGGCTACGTCACTGGACTCCCATGTAGTCGACCGCGGTTTGAGTCCCAGACCCAGTGGCTTAAACTCACGCCGGGCATGTGTGCATGCGTGCGCAAGATCCGGAGAGGAGAATGAAGGAGAAGGGATTATGGCATGGCCATCCCCCCTGGGGGGGGGTGATTTCTTGCTTTCTGTCTCTTTGTCTCTCTCTGGCTTTCTGGTGAGCGCACACGCCCTATAGCAAAAACCTCTCCAAGAATTCAGATTTCGAAGCTATAGAATTTTGAGTTTGGTGAATAAGAATATTCGACTTGTGTATGTTTGCATTTATTAAATCTTGAATCAATCTCATTTTTGTCTTTCAAACCTTCATCTGTTATTCAAGTGTCATTGTTAGAAGAGACAAGAGAACCAATGCCACACTTACCTGCAGAAACACTGGGGAAGTTCTCCTTGGCCATATAAAGGAAACAAAAATGGAGTGTTGCCATATCGCCCAAGACAGCGAAGAAAGTTTTTGGTAGCTTTAAGACCATCTAGGGTACTGCTGGCTAACTCTGATGTCATTGCAATTGAATGAAGGACAAAATATTGAAGGTTGGGGGTTAACTTTTGAGTTTTTAAATACTCGGAAAATGTAATCTCCTCATAGGCTATGAAAAAAAAAAAGAAGATTTATTAATTAAAATCAAAACTAAACTTCCATTTAAAACCACCCCACAAAACTAACATCAAGCCTGTTTAAAAACAACCTCATGAGAGACAAAGACGGTATTATTATTACATTTTTACAGTGACCATATATTTCAGAAATAAAAATAGAAACAATCTTATAATCATAAATTGATTGATAGTACAATTTTTAAGCTTAAATGATGAGTCTTTGGTTAGTACCTTAAGGATTTGAAAAATTTTTTTAAATCATTAAAGAGCTCAATGGGCTCCTATGGTGAGCAAAAACCAGTAACTTTATTATTATTAAAATCACAGAATAATTCTAATAATTTCACTTGAAAATATTAAATATAAGAAAATGAAATTTCTTAAAGAAAATAGTAGAATAAAAGGTGACTTTTGTAAAATGTACACTTCTTACTGAAACTTAGAATGATGAACACTGGCTAAAAAGTAATGCAACTAATGTCTGCATATCTACTATGATCAGTTTTATTGCCACATAATGAAATTTCAAAATATAAGGGACCCTTAAAAACCACCCCTTTAAACTAAGAATAAAAAACAATATAATCGAACAGTTTGTGAGAGGAAATAAACCACCTGACAATACAAAAACTTTATGGCAAAACTTAAATAAATAAAAATTCAAATTTACTGAGCAAATGTAAGTTTACACAGCAGTTGTGAAGAACAACTTGGCAGTATCTAGTGGACTTAAAGTTTTTGCAGTAAGAATTATACTTTTCTTATTTCATGGAGAAGTTACTGCTGCATTTAACTTTATAAGTGAGTTAAAAATGGTAGATTCCAATTTTAGATATTTTCAACTAAGTACACTTAAAGTGCATGGCTCTGATACTAAAGTGATGTATTCAATTTCAGCAAGTTGCGAAGGAACTGACTCCAAATACACAGAGATATAGGTTCAAGTCAAGACTAGAAGCTATGTCCTCTCCAAATACAATGCTTTTCCCTATTTACCATCTAATGTTTTATTTTTTTAATCAAAATTAATAGTTCTAGATTCTAAGCAAAATTTGCCCTGAAAGATATCAAAGTACACTGTATTATTACAAATGCAAAAGAAAGGAAACAAAACAAAAATGGTATATTGTATATGAAGAATCAGTCAACAGCAGTATTTAATTAACAAGAATAAAAATGAAAATCTAGTACAGTTCTACAATAAAGAAAACATCTACACTATAGTCAGAGTAGTCACTAGCCACAAATGGCTAGTAAGCACTTGAAATATACTTAGTGAGACTGAGGAAATGAATTTTTTATTTTACTTAACTTTAATTAAATAGCTATGTGTTACACAGTTAGAATTTGTTTTAAAACAGTAATACATAGCTCAATAAATTAGAATAAGCATACTAGAATAATAAGAAAACTCAAATAATTGAAGAGTATGATTTTATAAAAAATAATACCTTTATATTCATCAGGATGCTCTTCATATTCCATACAAAATGTAAGAAATTTCATTAGCATTCGCTTTTCTACCATAGTAAGTTGCTTACTATTAAAGACATCTGCTCTAGAACAAGGAACCTGAAAAATATTATTATTGTAAATTAAGAAATTGCTTCATACTGATGAGTGTTCCAAATTATAGCTATTATTATTACATAATTAGGGATAACAGGATTGTGATTTCCATTCTAGTCAGGCTACTTCATGTTACTTTCTATCAGTCCTAATGGCATCTCAGTTAAATCCAGAGTTTTTTCTTTCTTAATTCTGCCCGATTGCACCCAAAGCCATTAAAAGGTCAAAGACATGTCCATGTCTCCACAACAGGTAATAAATGACAGCTCAAATCTCGCAGTGCTTTCTGAAACTAACACTTTCTCAATACTAACATCAAATTGTGAAATAGTTCATGAGAAAACACTAGAAATTTTAATTGAGTAAATCTTACTATTTGCATTTTTAAATCACCATGCAGGACTATAATTTACAACTTTACTGGGAAAGTAGCCTTAATTACTTACTCTTCCAAAATGAACCATAATAACTTAAGCTCATACCCAATTACAATACTTAATCAGTGTAATACCTGTTCCACTCTTCCTTCTCGAAATGCAAGAATCCTGGTAACATTTTTAAATTCTGCGTATCGACTAACATTAGATTTAATCAGAAGATCAATTAGCAATCCTCGTGAATACAGCAGCTGCGCACACAAAAAATTATATGATAAGATAAAAGGTAAAATAGGGGAAAAATTGATGAACATTAAAAATACGTAATTTTTTATATTTAAAATTGTAAAAAGTATTATACCCATAAATAGTATACTATATAGCACAATTTATTAGAGATTCACATTGACTATCTGAAATTCAAAACTAAAATAAAAACTACAAATTCAAAATGATTATTCACAATCTGTTGGGCAGTAACACCTGCTCCAACTGATGTAAGGCTCTTTGTTCTTTGCCCACTTAATGTGAATATTTTGCTGCAGAGATATTAACGTGTTTGTTTATAAAGTGCCGCCTCAGACCTGGCAAAAATGTTACCATAGTATGCAACATATCAACATATTCATTGTATTAATTTTGAAAATGTGTTTAAATATATGCATTATAGAACATATTAAGACCCAAAGTTTTCAGAAAATAGATTATAGATCTACATAAAACTAGATGATTATAAGAAACCAATGAAATAGACCACTCTATCCCCCAAGAAAGGAAAAAATGTATAATGCATTTCCACAAATAGAGTCAAATTATAAGGCCCCTCTATAATTCTAGAGGTTGAGTCTCAGACTTGGTGACTTTAAATTCACACTGTGTATGTGTGCATGCATCTGTAAAATCCTAAGAGGAGAACAGAGGAGAAGGGATTGTGGCGTGGCCATCTCCCCGGGAGGGTGATTTCTCTCTTTTTGTCTCTCTGGCGAGTACACGCGCCTAATAGCAAGTAGATCTCTTTTTAAAAAAAAAGAAAAAGGAAAAACAACATAAACAGTGTTATCTAGCATGTTTTAAATTTATATAGTTAAATGGAACAGTTTCAGCTATTTCCTATATCAAGATTCCTTTAATGTCCATAACTTAATCAATGTAAATACTGTACTTTGAATCTATAATAAGTAGGAAAAATAAAGAAAAATCAGTTTTATGTTAAAAGAAAAGGAAAACCTCTAAAATAAATCTAAACCATTAGTCTGAGCATCCAAAGACTGGTAAAGACATTCTGTAAATCACTATCAGTAGAGTAAAATTTTTATAAACTATTATATTTGTTCAGTATTGTGCAGAATAAACAAAATTGACATCATTTTTTAAAACTAATCCAATTACCCAGACAAAATACAGTGTGTTACTTCATTACTTTCTTCTTAATGCACTGTACAACTAATACATTCATGTTTTTAAGAATTATATTGCCAGGCTTAATTGTATGAAAATATCAAAACAGGTACTTCAAAAACCTCATTTGTTTCAAAACAAACATTCGAGATCAAAGATCCTTCAATAGCTATAATAATTTCACAAATATTAATACTTAAAACATAAAAACATACTTCCATGTAAGATCTGATAAATCCCCACAATAACAAACACATACCATATTTAAACTGAAGACTCTTTCTCACTACACTCTACAGATTGTGCCACAGCAATTTCACAGTGATGAGAAACTAACACTTCAATCTTATTGAAATATTCAGAACTAGATTTAACAATTGACAATTTTTGCTTCCCTTGATATGTTGGTCCTGTAATCATTAAGAATATAAACTTACTTAGAAATGAATTATAATTATCTATAAAAATTTCATCTTTGACAATTTTCTCTAATTGTTGAACAATATTAAACTATAAATAATTTATTTAAGTAAACTTCCCTGACCTATTACTTTTAATTGTCTGCATGCATGTGTTTTATAAACTGTAAAGCCCTACAGTATTTATTAATTATACCTTAATGACTAAGATAAAATACACACAGAAATGTAAAATAGTATGCAGATATGAATCTTGGCTTTAGGAGAGAGAGAAGGCTTAAGGGAAGTAATAGGGCAATCACGCTAAACTTAGATGTGATAAAAGCAATTATTAGAATAGATGAAATTTCCAAAGAGTGACCAACTGCCCCAATATCGTGGAACATCCTGTTTTCCATCCCACTGAGCAGTAAATAAATGTCCATTATATGACTAATATTTAAAACATGACAATAAACCTTCTATATTGCTATAGTAATATTTTTTGACACTTCTGATTTTGCAAAATAAAATAAATGATTACTGATTATTTTTTGATGTTCAAACCCATAAAAACTATGCTGGACAAAGTACAACTAACTAGTCAATTGCTTCTAGAGCTTTGTTTTATATTTACTATAAGAAAATCAGTATTACTAACCATTTGAACATGTGAAAATAACCAGAAATCACCTTCAGAGTTTCCTCAAATGTCTTAGCTTCTAAATAAACTGCCTTTTCCCTTACACATCCAGCAATCATTTTCTTACACAACTGAATAATTTTCAATACTAATTCCTACAATGGAAATAACACCACTTTATAGCACTTTTCTTTGTAAGACATATACTATATTTCAGCTAGCATAAGAGAGTTTTATGAAATAGGCCTGATTCTTAACCATTTTTATAACATTTCTTTAGTTACAGCATTTCAAATTCCAAGTAACTAATTCAAAATGCAATTTTCAGAATCAAATTCATTTTTACTTGGCTACTTTAAATGTTTTGTTTTTTAACTTGTATTATGGAATATTGATTATAAGAACAGGAGATGGTTAATGAGCTAGGACTTAACATCTATACCAAGGCAACGTGAAAAGAATGCTAGATTTTAAAGCATGGCAGAAAAGTAGATAGAGAAAGTAGAATAGATGGCGCACAAGCATAAAGTAGGACCAAGGCTGTATCTAACTCAGATCAGACATGGTGTACTATATGGTAGAAAGAAAAATGGACATTGAAAAGATATTCATATTTTCAGGCAACAAGTTCAAAGGCAGCAAGAAACTGAGGATATGAGCTCACATTAGCAAAAAGTGAGAGACATGCACTGGTTACTCTCTGTCTCCTATCCCTTGAAACTTGAAGAAGGTGCATTAAATTGAAAAGCCTAGTTTTTGAGGCATGTCTGATGTTATTCACTACTCTCTCATACTTCTTTCCATTTTCTCATTGTTTGTCCTCAACTGAGATTTGGTCTGTTTTTCTTTACTTTTACCAAGTTTGGTATGATAACCCTTTAAGGTCATGATCCTTTATTTTACTGGTTTTCTATTCTTTTGCACTAAAATAGTCTTGCTTTTTATAAATCCAATTCAACATTTATTCTCCTAGAAATAGGGACCTCCTCTGGAGTCACAAAGAACTGAAAGTCAAGAGTTAAGGATGACATGGTCACAAGAAATAAGAAATTATTTTATGTTTAAAAAAAGGCAAATTAGATCACTAAACTAAATCTCTTGTCATTTTGTTTTTTAAACAAAAATCAGGTTTTCCCAAATAGTGTGGGGAAATATAGCTTATATTAAAATGAGATTTAAATACAAATTTTCATAAATTCTTACATAAAATAAGTGCCTACACAAGGGAAAAGGGGAAGAACTAAGAAGACAAGGAGGAAGATCCAAAACTTTCTTTACCACATAAGCCATCTTTCATTAGAAACTATGCAGAATTAAGTCAATGCTATTTCTTTAAGGTAGTCTATACTATTCGAGTTTATAGAGTCTTTGAATACCTGGATCAAATATAAACTCAAATAGATTTAAAAAAAAAAGAAGAAGAAAAATTAAGGATGGCTATAAAAACAAAAACAAAAACATTCCTCCCAGTGTCACTGCTCCCATGACTACTAAATAATCCTCTGAAGCCCTCAAACCTGAACACATGATTTTCAAAAATGAATTGGTTTATCCAAAGTATGTATCAACATATAGATGTTAAAATAGCTACTAAATATAAAGGCTAAAACAATTTGATGTACATTGACTATAAATGACATGGATTTGTGTACAAATCTTTCAGAAATTTTCTTTTGATAGAATTCATGTCCATGCACTAGGAGAATATTAGGATAGACTATGTACTCTAGTATAAAAGTATTCTTCAAGTACAAAAATAATAATTAAATATAGGCTAGACACTCACTAAAAGCACTTTAAAATGGGATTTTAATGTTTTTTAATCTATATTTGAAGAAAATTTTAATTAATTATAAACTTCTGGCTACTTTTATATTTCATTATAAAACAAATGCTCTGTACCTCAAATAATATAATTATGAAAACTAGATTCATGGGCCCAGATACTCTTTTCAGTCAATTAGAACTTAGTGTTGTTCTATGATAAAATCGCTAAAATTAGTGCTTACCTTTGATACTAAATCAATATTAAATCTTCTGCCTTTTTTAATAATTTGAGAGTAAGTAATCCTATTTTTCTTTGGTTGCTCTGCGGTGTCTTCCGCGGTAGGCACATTTTCACTTGTTTCTTCTCCTGAAGTTGACAGCACACAAGTTTTATCATCACAATAGTTTTCTTTCTCCCCTGTTGCTTCAGCATCATTTACTTCTAGGGCACTCTCTGGATCACTGCTTAGAGTTTGTTCTGCGGGCATTTCACAGCTCTCAGTGCTTAATGACTCATCTTCTGGAGGCTGGCAGGCAGGATCTGCAGCTTCTGTGGAGTTCGCAGATGTCACAGAAGCGTGATTTTTCTGCAGTGCACCAATTTCTTCAACATCTTCATGCAAATCCTGACTAATAAGAAATTATAATAATTATCAACCTCAGGATTTTGGTAATTCCACACTGCTACATTTTTATATTGCCTGAAATTTCCTTGGCAATTTTTATTCCTTTACTGCTTTTATCTTATTGAATTCAGTCTATGTTTTACCTTACATGACACAGATATTAAACATTCATCTGTTAAGATTTCAATACAATATAAAACATAATTAAGTTCTGAAAAATATAAAGATTTCAGGGCTTAGAAGGTCATATCACATGTATATTTTTAAAAATTTCAGGCAGACAGGGGAATTGTATTTTAGCAGCAAATGAAGGAAGTGGTTTAAAGCATAGCCTTCAGAATGAACAGATCTGACCCTCTGAGTATTAAGTTCTGTTAATTTAGACAAGTTATTTATCCTCCCTGAGTCCAACAGTACCAATCTGTAACACAGGGATAATACCATCTAACAGATATTGCATGCAAAGAACCCAGCACAATGCCTGGGACATAGTAAATGCTCAGCCAATAGCAGTGATCAAAAATTATCCTTGTTGTGGCCAGCAGTTAGTGTGGTGGTTAAGGTGCTAGGCTCCTAAATGTCTGACTGTGGTTACAATCTTGGACCTAGAGGCTTGCCCTCTCTCGTAAATTTAAAAATAATAATAAATAAAATTAAATAAGTAATTCTTTAAAATAAAAAAATGATTCTTGTTGAGAAAGCCTTTACTTAGTGATTTGACAGAGGTACTTTCAGTAAAGTGGGAAAAAAAATCTACCAATGAAGAGTTTAAGTTGGCCTATCACAGCGTAGAATCTCAGAAATTTTCTGTGTTCATTTTTTCCATATAATTTGATTCTTCTGGGGTGTCCTTCCTACTCCCAAATATTATCACAATTCTCCCATTCCCAAACATAATTACATACTTAAAAAAAAAAATCTATCTGTTCTTAAAAATAAAAAGTTTACACTTTACTTCTAAGAAGACTTTCTTAACCCAACCACACTCATCATTCTTATTACTCCATGTTCCCATGATATACACATACAGTTTACCTTCCATTCATTTGTCAATCATTTTTTTTAATAGATTTTTTTTTTTTTAGAGAGGATTCTTGGTATAGGGCGTGTGCACTCGCCAGACAGAGACAGAAAGCGAGAAATCACCTCCCAGGGGGGATGGCCACGCCGCAATCCCTTCTCCTCCATTCTCCTCTCAGGATCTTGGGCACGCACGCACACGCGCCAGGCATGAGGTTTAAGCCACCGGGTCTGGGACACGAACCGCGGTCGACTACATGGGAGTCCAGCGACATAGCCATTATGCCAACTGCTGGTCCCTCAATCCTTTTTTAAATTACCAGAGGGCATGTATGTTCTCCAGAAAGATAGAGAAACAGAGACAGAATGGAAGGAAGAAAACACCCTTCAAAGGGGCGTGGTCATGTTGTAATCCCTTCTCTATTTCTCCATCCAGCATGCTTTTAATTGCCTAGCTGAGATTCAAGCCACAGTTGGTCATATGGGATCCAGTTCCCTTAACCATTAGACTACAGGGACATCCCTATCAATCCCTCCCCCCCCCATTTTTATTAAAGTTTATTTTATTTCGAGAGAGAGATTGGGAGTGAGGAGGAGGTACCCTCAACAGAGTCTTGTAATGCTATGATCCTCCTGCATCCAGTCATGATCACAGGCACACATGAGTATGTTCAGCATGTTTAGGTCAACCCTGTATCCAAACACGGTCCTCCCATATGGCTCCAGTATCACATAGAAGTGCCCTACTGCCTACACTACTGTAGTGGGCCCATTTTCTTTTTAACCGTCCTTTATTTGTCAAGTATGTATTTTATTTACTGAGCTAGATTTTACTTCCCTTGAAGGAAGACCTCACATCTATTCTTGGGTGCCCCTCACTATACCTACTCCACTATTCTATAGATGTCATAACTAATAAACTCTTAATGAATAAACGGTTTGTATATGTAAACAATTTTTTAATATAAAACCAATTTATTTGTAGAAAACACAAAAAAATAGGCCAGGAAAAAAATGTATTATGAATTCAAAAGTCTGAGTACAGTGGAAAAATAAGTACCCTACTAAAATTAACACAATAAACACTAGAACAAAAGGAAGGCAATGAAAGAATACATTCAAAAGTCAAGAAATAAAATGCCACCAATTCACTATTATAATATAGTAATTTTAATGAAATCTAATGCAAAAGGAAATTGTTATCATTAATGTTATAGCAATGTTTCCAGATCTAGGAAACTACAGTGGAGAAAGTACTGAAGTTCTAGTCTTAGTGCATTACTTAGGAGGTACTAGACAATTTACTTAATCTCTCACATTAAAATGGGACTCAGTCCATCTGTTTTACCTTATATAAGACTGTTGTGAGATAAATGACCCAATATATATAAAAAGTATTTAATAAATTCTAAAAGATTACTCAAATATAAGATATTGTTAAACTGCCTTCCATGTCAACAGGCAACTCAAGGCATGTGTATCTAGGTTTTCTGCATTCACATGATAAAAGCTCTTTAGCCACATAAACACATGATACCACCACTGCTGTTAACAACATTACAAAATGCAGAGCTATAATGTGAAATGCAATTTGAATACTTTCTATAGAAGTGTTCATGCTCTGTATTGACTTTCATTATTTTGAAAACCAGGAAAACTAAATGTGTTCCATGAGGGATCTAAGGTGACAACTTTCAACAAAAGTTCCACACCTAAAGACAAAACTAGAAATGACAGGATAATTAATTCCACTTTACAGATTAGACCAAATATGGCAACTTCTCTTATTACAGGACATGACGATGACACCATGGAAACGGAGTATAGCAACTTAGCTTAGCTAGTGGTTCTCTATTACGTTCTGCAAAAAGGAGTTTTATAGAGTGAATGAAATACATTAACCAGTGTTAGAGACTCTGAAAGATAAAATATTTTTAAAAGGATTAAGTGTAAGAAAAGAAACTATTCTATGAGACTTTGTTCTATGTCAATAAACTACTGGGTCATTGGAAAAGTCATGACACATTTTTGCATAGAAAAATACATCCTGACTTTTCCAATGACCCAATATTAAATTTTACTGTTCTCAATATAACTTGGTGAAAATCCTAGCACTACAGAAAACATAACAAATAAAAGCAATCTATTATCCTTATTTTTTAAATTATAAACAACCACAGTATTTTGGGAAGTCTGCCAAGATTGAGCTAATATCTAACAACAAGTTATAAAGATACCTAAAACTCTACTTAATTCTTCAATAGGCAAAATTCTGCTCATTAAGGGCTATCTTCCCTCAAATTTGAAACTTTACATGGTGGTAAAAACATCTTCATAAAAGGATAAAAAAAGAAAAAACCTTTCAAGAAAATTCCAGAATAAAATAACCACTCAATTTATTTATTTAAAAATGTTTTAAAACTACAATAATATATTTGCCAATTATAAAATTATTTGGGTAGATATACACCCTCAAAAGAATCTTTGTGTTCTAAAATACATTTTTGCATAGAAAAATACATCCTGACTTTTCCAATGACCCAATATTAAATTTTACTGTTCTCAATATAACTTGGTGAAAATCCTAGCACTACAGAAAACATAACAAATAAAAGCAATCTATTATCCTTATTTTTTAAATTATAAACAACCACAGTATTTTGGGAAGTCTGCCAAGATTGAGCTAATATCTAACAACAAGTTATAAAGATACCTAAAACTCTACTTAATTCTTCAATAGGCAAAATTCTGCTCATTAAGGGCTATCTTCCCTCAAATTTGAAACTTTACATGGTGGTAAAAACATCTTCATAAAAGGATAAAAAAAGAAAAAACCTTTCAAGAAAATTCCAGAATAAAATAACCACTCAATTTATTTATTTAAAAATGTTTTAAAACTTCAATAATATATTTGCCAATTATAAAATTATTTGGGTAGATATACACCCTCAAAAGAATCTTTGTGTTCTAAAATATTCCATGTATTTTAACATAAAAAGAAAAACAATCTGCATCATCGGTATTTTCCTTGTTCTTCTGGCCAAAATGGGTGTGCACTCACTAGAGACAGAGTGAGGAAGAGGATAAAGCATCCCCAACAGGGCATAGTCACACCACAATCCCTTCCCCTTCATCTGTCCCTCCCTTTGGGATTTTGGGCATGCACATGCAGTTGGTGTTTTCTCAAGCCTCCAGGTCCAGGATTCAAACCACGTGGTAAATCATGTGGGATCTGGCTGCCTTAACCATCAGGCCATGGATCTAGTCCCAACAGTTCTTATAAAAATTTTCACTAACAAAATTAAATCTAATGTAATTTCTACTGTTAATTTTAGTTCCAAAGGCCATTTATAACACAGTGTAATATTTCTTAGATAATTCTTCCTAACTAGAACTGTGAAATATTGCTTTGTGAAGACATACTTTTGACTGATTGCCAAAAGCTGTATATAACTCTGAGATTTTGGGGGTATAAATTCTGATAATATCTAGTATTGAGTATCAATTAATGGTACTAATAAAAGAATACCTTTGGGGCCAACAAGTGGTATAGTTATTAAGGTGTTGGACTCCCACGTGGCCAATCATGGTTTGAGGATTGGACCTGGTGGCTTGAAACTCATGCTGGGCACATATGTGTGTGTGTCCCAAATCCCAAGAGGAGAATAGAGAAAAAGGGATTGCCACATGGCCATCCTCCCTGGGAGGGGAGAGTTGATTTCTCACTTTCCCTCTCTGACTCTGTCTCTGTCTCTCTCCCCCTTCCTCCCTGCTCGCCTCTCTGTGGCAAGTGCATGTACTTTGTGGCAAAATCCTAAAACTAACTAAATAAATAAAATAAAGGAACACCTCCAAGTGAATGTGTCTTATTAGTACATTGTAACAGTCACTATTTTAGATGAATCAAATGAAAAACTGCCAACCACTTGGTTAATTTATTTAGAACAGGTGTTCACTATTTTTCAGTCACTTGTACTTTTTTTC